CCTCTGTGGCAGACAACTCACTCTATTTTAAGAGCAGAGTGCAGACCTGAACAGGGAGGGAGCCACATGAATAAACTGCAAACAACAGATGGGAGACCCCTGCATGCCCCCAACTGTGCTTTCGAAGTGCTAGAAGCAGAGTTTTGCTGAAAGCTGGTCCAACCAGCTTAGCAGCAAGAGAAAATCCACAGCAACAGAAACCTGCCACAAGGTGGAGCAAGGAGCAGAAGTGAATGCCCCTCCCTCTCTCAGAGTGACATACATTGAACCACCGAAAGGACCCTAGAACAGTGGGTAATTGAATAGCTTCAGACCAACAAAACAATAGAGGAATTATAGAGCAAAGAGAGGCCTTTTTACAAATGAGGAAAAATCCATGGAAAAATACAGACAGTGCTCAGAGCTCTAAAGACACACTGCCCAGAAAAGCTGTCAGAGCACAAATGGAAATCCCCCAGAAAGATCTGCCCCAGATGACAGCTACAGAAATCAGTGTTTGGATGGCAAAAATGAACAGGAACCAAGAGAAACTAGAAGTGAAACTCACTGAAGTTATACAGGAAGTAAAAGTGGAGTTGGCCAATTTCTTTTTTGAGTTGGAGTCTTACTCTGCCGCCCAGGCTAGACTGCAGTGGCATGCTCATGGCCACTGCAGCCTCGATCTGCTGGGCTTAGGCAATCTTTCTGCCTCAGTCTTCCAAGTAGCTGGAACTATTGGCACGCACCACCACACCCAGCTAATTTTTTGATTTATGGTAGAGATGAGGTCTCGCCAAGTTGCCCAGGCTGGTCTTGAACCCATTCCTCTCACCTCAGTGCTGGGATTATAGGCATGAGCCACCACACCCGACCTGAAGTTGACCAATTTCAAAAAAACCCATTCCGAAATAATGGAAATGGAAAACTTTATCCTGGAAATTAAGAACACAGTAACAAGCTTAGGAAGTGGGTCAACCAGGCAGAAGAAAGAATCTCAGAGTCTGAAGACCAAAATATGAAATTAACCCAGTCAGTGAAAAAAAGGAAAAAAGCTTATAAAGGAGGAGCAAAGTCTCTGAAAGATGTGGAAAGAGCAAACCTATGCCTGATTGGTACCCCTGAAGCAGAAAGGGAAACAGAGAACACCACGGAACAAGCATTCCATGAGGTAATTCAAGAAAACGTCCACATCTTGCAGAGAGGAGGCCATCCAAGCACAAGAAATTCAGAAAACCTTGTAAAGTATCAAATAAAATCATCTGCTAGGCACATAGTAATCTCCTCCACAAAATGAGCATGAAAGAAAAAAATCCTAAAAACCAGGAAAGAGAAAGAGCAGACTACTTACTGGGGAAGACCTATCAGAATCACTGCAGATTTACCTCCAGAAACACTGCAAGCCAGAAGGGACTGGAGTCCAATTTTAATATTTTTTTTTTTTTTTGAGTTGGAGTCTCACTCTGTCACCCAGACTGGCCGGGAGCGGCCACTGCAGCCTCAACCTGCTGGGCTCCGGCGATCCTTCCACCTCAGTCTTCCAAGTAGCTGGAATTACAGGCGCACTACCACGCCCAGCTGATTTTTTGATTTATTGTAGGGATGAGGTCTTGCCAAGTTGCTCGGCCTCACTGAATATCAGAGAAATGCAAATGAATACTAACAATGAGATACCACTTAACCACAGTAAAGATGGCTATCATTAATAAGTCAAAAAACAACAGATCCTGGCATGAGTATAGAGAAAAGGGAACACTTCTACACTGTTGCTGGGAGTGCAAGCTAGTTCAACCTCTATGGAAAGTAGTGTGATGATTCCTAAGAGAACTAAAAATTGCCGGGCTCAGTGCTCAGCCGGTAATCCCGCACTTTGGGAGGCTGAGGTGAGTTGATTGCCTGAGCCCGCGGGTTCATGACCCGCCTGGGCAACTTGGTGAGACCTCATCTCTACAATAAATAAAAAATCAGCTGGGCGTGGTAGTGCACACCTGTAATTCCGACTACTCGGAAGGCTGAGGCGGAAGTATCACCGGAGCCCAGCGGGTCGAGGCTGTGTTGGTTGAGAGCGGCCACAGTACTC